CCGGGGATTGAACTTGGGTCCTTGCGCTTGCAAGGCAGGCCACTGAATCGCTGAGCTAAATCCCCGGCCCAATATTATTGTTATTTCTATTAGTTGTGGTACTCAGGATTGCGTTCTGGGCTCATACAAACTGGGCAAGTGGTCTACCACTAAGCTATATCCCCAATCCTTTTTATGTTGAGGCAGGATCTCACTAACTTGCCAAGGCTGGTCTTGAATTTGTGATTCCCCCTGCCTCAGCTTCCCAGGTAACTGGGATTATAGGCATATACTACTGCACTCAGCTTACATATTTTTGTTTTCTTCTCCACAGCTGTCTTAGTCTTCCTGACCCATCACTTTGGCTGCAATGTAGCTTCCCCCTATTCCTGTTTTACCCATTGTTTATGGTACTGGGACAAAGAAACTTTAAGACCATTTTCTCAGTTCTCTAAGGGTAAAAGGTGTGTGATTATGGTGAAATTATTTGCAAAGATAATAGCAATATAAAGGAAAGAGGGAAAATAACTAATTTTTTTCTCATAACTGACATTAAGGTTTTTTTTTCTCATGGAAAGCAGATATTAACAGGGAAGAATGACTACATACAATAGGAATTCCTCCAATCTAATGAAACTAATAGGTATAATAAGTTTTGTGTGCACATAAGTTTTAGGGAGCTTACTTAGAACTTTATAAATGGTAAATGAATTTCCTCCTGCTCCTTGCTGCTGCCAACCTGTGATATAACTGGGTACAGTAGTTTACTTTCAAATAGGAGTTGTAAAAGGAGAGAAATCCACAAAAATATCAAAAAAAAAATCCTCATAAAGTATATGCAATTGAAGAATTAATGATCACTGCATTATTCTATGGAAGAGGCGATTTAAGTGGTGTAGTAGCCTCTGAATACATTAACCATTTTGCGTATATCCGTAGGAACTGACAGGACAAGTTCTCAAACAGTAAATATAAAATGGCTCAGGATAACAATAACCAATTCAACAAGTATAAACACTCTGTTGCTTATAGAATATCTTCTCTCAACCAAGAATAATTTGTGCTTACTATTGTTTTTTTTGCCTGAACTAACATATAGCCTCTTTGGATTCTTATACAGAGTCTCCTGGAAACAAAAGTAACTTAGGCGGGACACTGCATGCTTGTAAGCATGCCCAGAGCTTATTCAGGTCACTGGGCTTGACTCAATATGCTGGTCTGTAGTCATTGCCTGCTATTGCCTTTTGTTAAAGGAGGAAGTCTATTCTTATAAATAATTCAGTTTAAAGCTTTGGGTGATTATGCTACAGGAAATATTGAAAATTAAATTATTAAAAAAGAAAAGTATAAGTATTCTTACTGGAAGAACCTGAGCATTTGCTCCTTTAAAAATGCAATTCCCTGTGCTCGCTTTGGCAGCACATATACTAAAAAATGTAATTCCTTCCTTCAGTGCTTGACTCACACAAAATGGAAACTGCTCCAGCAGCACTCAATAAATACAATTTATTTAATAGAATTGATGTTTTTGCAGTAATTTTATAATTTAAAAGTATTATTTGCACTTGCTTTTCTTATTCTTTGCTTTATAGTCAGTCTAGAAGCTTTTAAAAGGTAGATGTCTGGTTTCCTTTCTGCCTCCTTTCTTAGACTCTTAAAAACCATTGTTCAAGCATTTATTCTCCATTATTACCAAGGCAATTTCACTGAAGATTTGAAGGCATTAGCTTTTAATTACTATGTCTAGTGCATTCTCTACATTGAGATTACAGTTATCATCC